AGTACAAAACGATACCAGCCAGTATTGTAGCGAGAATAGCTACTTTGATAGCGGTTGTCCTTCTTAGACTCATCTAAGAGAATCCAAAAATAAAGAAATAAACTTAAGTAAAATAACTAGTTAATAACTGAAACTTCGCGACGAGGAGCGTCAATAAAAGACAGATCAAATTACTTACGGCGCCAATTCCAAACCGACCGAGTCCTCAATCGATATACAAAGACTCTTTGAAGTCGTGTACAGCATCTCCTGCATATCATATGATCAGACTTAATGCGTGGCATTTCTTGAAAGCAAACTTTACCACCTAGCAACGTGCGAAAGATTTCTTTAAAAAAAAAATTGTCCAGGCCAGTTTGTTTGCTTGGCTGTCAAATATATTTTATCACTGCTAACAGCCAAATATAATGTATTGGCCAATTCCAAATAGAGTGCTTTCAATTTGCGAGTGTGGCTCGCTATCCAATAGAGTCAAATTTGAAAGCTCTTTATACGGTGAAAAGAATAGACTTTTCGGTAAACACGGCGAAAATTACCATGGTTACATAAGGGTCCCAGGGGCGCCGTAATCTTCCTCTCCCCACTGGCTCCTTATATTAAAATAACGATTGAAAATAAATCCCCTGATTTTGATGGTAGACGGCCAAATTTTGACTCAGCTGCGTTTTTATTTGAATCTGACATTTTGGGAGTTTGACAGTTTCAGTATCTGAACATTCAACGTATTAGTTTTGTTTTTAAAATTTTGGATACTACATGATGCCATGACAAGTTTACACTCTGATTTCCTCATGGACTCCCTGCTGTCACCGTGCAGTCAAAACAAATGACGCATTTGAATGTAACTCTGAAACACAATTTTTATTAATATATATTTTTTCGGTGTCCCATTCATCGAGCGTTTTCGAGTGGCCCTTTTAAAAATTGAATTTTTAACGTCGGGGATTCCAAACTGGGGTGTTCGTATATGTTTTTAGATGTAAAATTGATGTTTTTTATGCGGTGATAATTAAAGACAATGCCTCTACCGTGCAATCATAGTATAATAAAAAAATATAGGAGCTGCTGAAATGACAACCACGTTTCCCAGGGTAGGCTCGAGTCGATTGTGCTAGCATAATTTTTGGCATAATTTTGACAAAACGAGCATAATTTTTAGATTTTTTGTCAAAAAGCAATGCTATATTTTGAAGGCCGGAAGTGCTAAAACCAGGCTCAAATATCCTTATCATAATGATAAATTGACTTCAGACATAAAGTAAGCTCTCCAAATAAACGGTCGGCGATGTCTAGGGGCCTAGTTTGGGATAGTTTTTTAGTTTTTTTTTGGGGGAAGAACCGGAACCGGAAGTCTAGAAAACCTCGTTCCCAGTCCCACTCACATAGGTGTGACAACGTGACAAAATGGCGTCCGCCACTCCCGAAGCAGATCCCAAGAACTTTCAGGTCTTGCATCTCATCTAAGAGATTTATTAATATAAGAGGTTAATAAAACTCACCTTTCTTACTGTTTTGCCCATTTTTTGTCGAGCATATAAATATTGAAAAAAAGTAGCATAATTTTGAAAAACGAGCATAATTTGAGCATAATTTGGATAAAAAACGAGCAGTGCTACTAGCATAATATGCCAGTTTTACTAGCACAATCGACTCGAGCCTATCCCAGGGTCTCTCATCTTCCCGCCTCCAGGGGCGGGAAGATGAGAGACCCTGGGAACGAGATTGCTAAAAAAGATAGATCCGAGACTGATTTCACGACTAATAACTCGTCCTGTGGACGGTGAAATTTTGCGTCAGGGAGATCTGAACTTGCCGCTTCCATGGCCAAGAATCCATTTCAATGTCCGCTGGGGACTGGGGGCCAAGAACCCATTTTAATGTCCGCTGAGGATTGGGGCGAGTGATACCTAGTATTTCCTTGAATGGCGAGATCAAGATGGCGACGAGATAAACAAGAGTGTTTTGAGATCGATGAAGAAGAAGCTATTAACGAGCGGACATTCGCGACTGCTTCTTGTTGTCATGCACTGTAGCTTGTTAACGGCTACAATTACACCTGTATTGCCGTAAGCTGGGAAGGACGAAGATGCATTTTCAAAGGACAAAAAACGCTGACAATTAAAGGATGAATGTCTGCTTGAAATTCCGGATCGCACAAACGATAATTTAAATGGTGTCCTCTCGTCAGGAAGCATGGAAAATGGGCATTTGGAGCACGATAGTCGATGTTATAGTCATTTTGCATGGGAGACGAAGGTACGCTATTGCAGTTGTATTTTTTTTCTGGGAAGCGAGGAACTTGAAGCTTCGAAATTTTATTTTGCCAAAACTATAATTCTAAGTAAGTTCTACTTTCAATATCAGATCGAACAAGTTGTCCAGGTTTCTAGCAGCCCGTTACTATTTATCGTAGAAGTTTTACTTTCTCATATTTCTCTTTAAAATTACGATGTTTACATTCGTAGTGTTTTTTTCTAAGTGTCGGATAGCTACTGCGCGTGCGTGAAATTTTAATTACGGCCATGAGTACATATATACTCACGATTCCCGTTCCTTTAGGGATGGACCATTTTTATTTTGAGAGGGGGGAGGGGGGGGGGGGGGGGTGGGCAATTACCCCAAAAAAATTCCTGCACAGCAAAAGTAGAGAAAAAAAATCGTGCAAAGCGAATTCACTCACTCACTCACAAGCAAAAGGTGAAAAAAAAAATTCGTGCACACACTCACTGAAGACGGAAAAAAAAGCTCAGAAAAATTGCCCAAATAAAATGGTCCATCCCTTATTGGTGGCTTCCTGCCAGGCTCACGTTTGGAGGCTGCTCGCGCGGAAATGTGAGCCTTATCAGGCTTATGATTTGATAGGCCCCGTTACACGGACTCATTTGTAACCGCGGTTACGCCTTCCGTTTGTATCGCGACGATGGAAAACCGCATCGTTTTGAGAACGCTGTCAAAAGTGGAGTGTTTCTAACGATAACGGTTTCGAGTACCGTGTAAACGGGGGCCGGCAACCGTGTCGCTTTGAAAAACGATTGGTGTTTGGCGCTTAAAAAGCCCATTTCAACAAAGAACAGGGGTGGTGTTTCAACAAAGAACAGGGGGGGGGGGGGGGGGTGGCGGGGGCATGAGTGCCAGAGGCTTTCCTTGGGCGGTTTCCGGTGTCAAGTCAACTTCGAGCTGGGAGCGAGGTTGTAGTCAAGTCTCTATTGACGTACCACATGTGCGCGAGAAAAAACCCCTCTGTCACCCAGGGTAGGGAGGGGATATAAACGGATAATTAAGCACAATTTTATTTTTAACATTATTTTTATTACTACAAAAGACGATCATTATATCAACATAGATTTACATTGGCAATCACTGGCCTTTGGGATTCATCGGGCCGAGAAGGGACAGTTTTTAAATTCTAAAGTCTTTTGTCACTGTCATGACAAAATCTTTGGCTTCTTGGCAGCGGAAATGACGTCACTAGAAGAAGCAGCACCTGGTCCCAGTACTCCAACTTTTGTCGGTGGTGTCGCGGTTTTGACTGAAGGCGCGGGCACAACGCTGACATCCCATTTGCTTTTTCTCTTCCTTGCTTCCTCTCCTATCAAGTAAATGAAAAGTCAACTTCAAACAAGACGCCATTGGTGTTTTCGCGGAAGTTCAAAACATGTTTTCTCTTGTAAGGCACTCAAAGCCCCGCTTCCTTGTGTTTCTATCAAGCTCAAAATTCATCATCATCATTTCTTTCTACAAAAAAACAACATGTTTACCTGTAATCGGTTTCTTCGTACCTGATACAAATTCAACCTTCAGGAGGAACAAAGAGGAAACGTGTTAAGACAGTAAGGCATGAACTCATCACACAGAAACAAACATGGCTGCAGTTATTTGAACGAAGTCTAAGTTAATTCTGGTTTACGTCTAAAATGAGGTTTACACTTATTTATTTATTTATATATTATTTATTTACATGCAAATTGACTGCCTGACTCCTCCAGCTCAGCTATGGTTATCCCAGACGGCCAGTAAGGGTAATTTTCCACTGGCTGAGTGAAACGAAAAAAGTGGAAAATGTTTTTCTCACACCACTGCTGGGGCCTGGTATAGGTCATGTGACCGGTGAGGCGGGCAGTAGTTTTTGTTGCGTCCGCCATTACTGACCTTCCCACCCACCCACCCACCCAAAGAATTTCAGTAGTATTTTGTTGTATTTTTTAATTTCGGCGTTATACAATGTAACTGATGTACAAAGCTTGTAATGTTGGAAGCTTCCCAGTTTTAGCGTGATATGTGTATAGGTTTTGATTTTACAATAAAGGTCAGGCTTTGCGGCGGTCGGCTTGACATGGCTACCAGTGGTGTGTGAGAAAAGGTAAGGTAAAGCTGCACTCGAGCCTATAAAGTGGCCCACACTAGATTAACTAAGTTTACAATTCCCCTGGATGTCCCGGGGGTCTACCCCAGGGGCAAGCTGATGAGTGCAATTTGCTTTCATTTCTTTCCACAAAATCCCATTTCTTCTCTCTTTCATACTGTAAATACTATTTCTGAGTACAAATAAACTAAAGGTGGTTGTTGTTGTTGATGGGAATCCTGTAATGCCACAAGCTTGAGTAGACACTCAATCAATATCAAATGAACAACTTCCATGTTCCCGACAACTGGACTGTCATTATTAAAATGCCATGTGTGTTGCAGTTGCTTACTTGTGTTCTGGCCTGTTTTGCTTTTTCTTTCTCCTTTCTTTCGTATGCTTCTTTCTGAGCTTTGGCTAAAAAAAGTAAAATGTAATCTATATCAGCACCAAATTTATACACCTGATCTGAACAACTCATCTACAATGTGCAGATGTTGGCTTATGACAGTACCATCAGCCCTCACATGCAATAGTTGTTTTAGAAAATAATGTACATGTACAGTAGCGTACATGTATAACTAAAGTTCTAGCAGTATAATGGAAATTTGTCGCATTTGAACCTATAGCTACTGTATATGGCCCAGCCTCTCACGAATCTCCTGTAGCTCAGTGGTAGAGTGCCTGACGCGTGTGCAGAAGGTCATAGGACAGGTTCGACTTCTGTGGGATGAATTTTTTTTTTGAGTAGCTGCATACAAGCTTGTTTGTATTATTTTTCAGTGATACATACACAGATTTTCGTAGTATGACTCGTCTGTCCAACAGGTAGGGTCAAACAAACTCTATAACAAAGAAACAAAACAACACATGTTGAAACTGGTAATAAACAACCCATTTCAATTTGCTGAGCTTCTGTTAGGCTGACATGCTACTGATTTCCTTGAATGCGATAATAAATAATGTTTAATGAACACTCTACACCAACCATCATAAAAGCATCAGATAGTCATGTTACTTTATAGCATCATCCCAGTGATAGCCTTTTCAGAGCCTATAGTGCCTGTAGTGCCTTGGAGTGAACAGGCTGGCAGTGAACTTCTGTTTTAGTAATCTGTAGCATGAAGTGCACAGTGGCTAAGAGTATTGCTACCCCCCCCCCCCCCCCCCCCCTTAAATTGCTGGTACAGTACCCATTTATACTCCTGGGTGAAGAGAGGCAATGCGAGAGTACAGTGTCTTCTTGCCCAAGAACACAACACAGGACTTCAAACCATTAAATCAGTTTTACACAAACACCAACTTGTGATTAGAAACAAAATTTAAAGTGTTTTTTTTTTAGCTGAGATTCCTTTTTTTGAGGGTATTCTGTAACTTACTCATGAAACATTCAGCGACATCCTATTATCAACATTACCGAGGGGAAAAGAAATAGACGAAAGAACCCGCCAGCATACATCAACAGCGAAATTCCCCTACAGCTGCTGTAACAAAATCTGCCTGTCGTGGATAGGGCTTGCCAGCCACCAGCGTGCATACAGTCGTGGACATTCTTCATTTAAATCTTCATTCACCAAATCCATTAGCCAAGAGAGATAGGGGTAATTTTCCACTGGCTGAGTGAAACGAAAAAAGTGGAAAATGTTTTTCTCACACACCGCTGGAGCCTGGGTATAGGTCATGTGACCGGTGAGGCGGGCAGTTGTTTTTGTTGCGTCCGCCATTACTGACCTTCCCACCCACCCACCCAAAGAATTTCAGTAGTATTTTGTTGTATTTTTTAATTTCGGCGTTATACAATGTAACTATGTACAAAGCTTGTAATTTTGGAGGCTTCCCAGTTTTAGCGTGATATGTGTATAGTTTTTGATTTTACAATAAAGGTCAGGCTTGCGGCGGTCGGCTTGACATGGCTACCAGTGTGTGTGTGAGAAATGTATTATTCATGTGTGAAAGTTACCAAGTCCTAAAAATAATGTTCTAACCTTTGGATAATTGCTCCCAGATTCATCAATATTAAGGAATTGCAACAGCTTGTTATAAATACTGAAATATAATAACATCAACAAAAAAATATATTATTTATTGATATATTTCATTATTGAACTAAAAATAAGTGACTTGGCTTGTACATGTAGTACTTCATGTATTGAGTAATGATTACTCACACTTACATGTACAATTTATGTGTACTAAACTAAAGGAAGGTCAGACTATAACGAGCCTTACATTTCACCATAAGGCTCAATATCATCCAGTTACCCACCTTGGGTTTCTGAAGTCTTTTCTCTTTTGTATATTGGCATTTAAATCAAGGTTCTCTCTGTGTTTCTTTTCCAACAGTTTTAGAATCTTTCCTGAGAAGAGGAAAAAACCCAAATTCTTTATTTTAATATTATTTTGTAAAGAAATTGTCAAATGGTTGAATGTTAAGCCTCTATAGCAGCTACCCATTGCAAGTAAAACACCTCACCTCACCTCCCCACCCCATCCCCACCCCACCCCCACCCCCCACCCCACCCCACCCCCACCCCCACCCCCACCCCACCCTTTAAGCATAATACTTTTATATTGATTGTAAAATAAGTCCTGGCAGGGCTCTCCAATCTACATACAGTGTAGTTTGTTCCATCTAGAGGACTTGAAATCTTGTGTTGATTCAGTTGGGTGTTCACAAGTACTGTTTTTGGCAAATCTTTGTTGAAGGACTCACAAATACTGTACATGTATGTAGTTTCTAAATAATCATCGATGTTATCCAATCAAGAAACAGTGTGAGCACTCACAACTACTCCAAGGCTAACTTGGAGATAGGATTTTGCCATCGACTGGTACTGGTGTTGATGTGAAAAACAGTCAGAATTTGTTTTCCTTATTGGCACAGAACTTCACACATTGTACAGTAGATTATAATACATGTATATTTAGCACTGTCTTCCCTTCACATGACCTGAAATTCATCATTAATTAAGCTGGAACCATAATTTGGAAAACAGTGTTAGGGATAACAAACTACAGTCGAACCCCGATTAAGCGGCCACCTATTAAGTGGCTAACCCTGATTAAGCGGCCAGCTATCAAAGTCCCAATATCAGTATAATACTGTAAATTTATTAATAAAACCCCGACTAAGCGGCAACCCCTATTAAGCAGCCACTTGCCATTTCCCTGAGGGGGCCCGTTTAATCGTGTTCAACTGTACTACTAAGTTAATACATATGTAATTGCACAACATTCCATCCTACAAAAATCCATGAACTCATCAATCTACAATGTACATTGTAACATTAAAAATACCTGAAGTTTATTAGAACAGCGGCCTTCAGGTTCCGGAGGCAACTGCGGCATCATTATAGCAGGTATTGTGTTTGATGTTACAGCAGCTGGGATCCAAAATGGATTAGAATATTATTAATAGTGCATATTTAAAACATTGAAGGTCAAGTGGAAAAACTATGCTAAGTGGCAAAGCGCGCTTGCTCACTTAGCATACATGTAGTTTTCCACTTGACCCTTCAATTGAAACAAAAGCCATCATAAAGTTTTTATAAAGATGTCAAAAAGTTAATCAAAAACTTTGTTGAGTGGTAACAGTAGGGCACTCCTCACTGTTAACAGATACATGTACAGACATATTTAATGTATGTTTAGAAAGAAATGATGGTGAATTTTAAGCTTGTAGAAATATGAGAATGATGTTTATTAGTCAGTGACACAAGCTGCTCGGATACATATTATTTGGTAAAATATAAAATTACATGTATATAAATTTATAAATTCATAAAAATATTTGCTTTGTTGTACATGTACCTGTCTGAGATTCCTTTCCCTCAGATTTTGAGGTTTCAGCGACATCACTGATTATCTACAGAATGACATTCAGATATACAGTATTGTGATGAACATTACAAGAAAAAATAACAATACAAACAACACCTTACAACAATGTACTAATAACAATAGTAATACAATCAATCATGTAAATAAAAAATAATAATTAATTTTAATGAATTCAAGACTGCAGTGAAAGATCATAGAGCATTTTCATGGCAGCCTTGTGTTTCAACCGATAGGAAATTGTTGCAACTGTAAGTTAGAAAATAACTAATTTTCCAAAGGAGTCTGGAGAGATTGAAATAATATTTCATTGTTCGGGAATACCAGAGTATGGCTGCCGTGATCACAATTCTATAAACATGTGTATCTTACGGTCATAATGTCCTGGAAACTAACGTGTTTACAAATTTAAGCCTGTACAACTATACATGTACAAATAATGTATGTCCTCACCATAGCTTCATGTGCTGGATGCTTTGCTTTCATAGATTCTTCACTTCCATCATCCTTACTTTTACTGAAAAAAATAAAAAAAATAATGTAAACATCATTGACTCCTAAACATAATACATATACATGCCATACAATAGCCAATTCCGATATATTAAAATTCTAACTTGACTCCGAGGCTTAGGGAATAAAATAAAAAGAAATCACATCGAGGTCGAGGGATGAATAAATAATTTCTTTGTTTATTTTCCCCTAAGCCTCGGAGCGAAGTTAGAATTTTAATATATCGAAATTGGCCTATTTAATCAATTAAATATTTGTTTTTTGAACTTTCTCACCTTTTCGTCATTGACTGTATCTTCAATGGTCTCTGTTTTTTTTCGTTTCCTTAAACAAGAAAAATAATACCAATCAAGCCAAAGTTTGAAGTATTATTTCAATCAATAGTTTTTATTTCTGACTGCTTTCGGGGTTTTTAGAACTGATTTAATTATAGCTTTACCAAAACTGGAGATTGGGTAGAATCCGGGGGGGGGTGAGACTCAGGTACATGTACACTAGTGATGGAGGTGTGAAGGATTTTTGGGGTTTGAAATTAGCAATTTGGGGACTTTTTTAGGTTAGAAATTTTCTGGCAGATTTTATTGAGTAGAAAGATTTTGGCAGGGACTGTTTTAGGGTTATAAATATGTATCGCTCCCTAATTTAAATGGATGAATAAAGGTGGCGGCATGAACTACATGTATCTTGCACTCTCTGATGTTTTTTGTTTTACTTAAATATTATTTTTATGCGGAGAAAAAAGCAATACTTTTTGGTTACATTCTAGGCCATCGGACTTTTTTGGGATTTAGTTTTAGCCTAATGGGACTTTCTTGGGTCTAAAATTTGGCCTCATTTGCATCCCCGTTGCTAAAATATGTGAGAACCCCTGGGGGTAGAACCAACTGGAACTCACAGTACATGTACAGCAACGACAACAACATTTTCTGTGTAAAATTAGATTCATTTTCATAATAATTAAATTGAAATTGAATCTACTTTTACACAAACTACAGGTACATGTACCTCATCTTTAGCCCCTTCTCCATCTTCTTCTTCTGCTACATCATCGTACGACACCAGACGAGCACCTTTAAATATGAGAAATAACCTTTATTACACTGTAGCTGGCAAACATTTCTACTGACATTTGAAGATGACCTACTTGGTATAAAATTTTGAAAACCTTGGCATTTGGTGTGTAATGGAAATTATGGGAATGCACACTGACCCGGGACACTGACCAATCAAATGATTGTCAAGCTCTCTTGTAAGCATAATTCTTATTTCTGTTTTTCCAATTTTTAATGAACGTAGTTCTTGAGGCAAACCCTTGACACAAATATTAAAAGTGCTACACATATTAACCAACTTACTTGTTTTCACTCTTGTTTGTGGAATGAAAG